AATATTGAGTTTTAGGGACAGTACCTCCAACCACATTGGTTGGATAAAGTGTTTGTGTCAGCAAAGCTCTAGTGACAGAAAGTCGTCACATGGCACCCTCCCTCACAGAGCTGCCCCCCCTGCACACCCCTCACTTCCCTTGTCCCGGTCCTGGTTTAGATCAAGTGCTATAAGTCTTCATAGACCTATATAGAACTGTCTACAACCGTGGGATACAGCCCCATAGATCTCAATGGAGCTGTAATGCATAGGCATGGCCCAAAAGTGGAGGCTTGTGGCACTGGATGTAAAAAAACAGCGAAACTGTGGCCATCGGATGGAGGTTAGTGGACAGCAAGGATGGGTTAGATTAGGTCAGTGGGGCAAAAAGGATAAGTACACTTTGTTTTAAAGTGCAATTATCCTTTACAGGGTCATTCACACAGGCTGTGCATGCTTTCTGCACAGAACGCAGGTTCTTGCTGGCAGAGCTAGCAGAAGATCTTGCATAAAATATGCACCTAAAGTACTATACATTTAGACAAGTACAGTTCTTCTAGTGACTTTAAAGTGGTAGTAAAGTCTGTTTTTTACTTGTACTGTATCTACAGGTAAGGTTATAATAAGACTTACCTTTAGGTACTGTAAATATCTCCTAAAGGTTTAGGAAATATCTACCTGCGTAGCAGCAGTCTGCATTGTCCATATCATTCCATCAGAGTTGTGTGCCGTAAACAGTGACTCCCACGTGCATGAGCAGGAGTGACTTCATCAAGTCTCGGCCATTCAAGCCACCAGAGCCTGTGAACCTGGAAGGACCAGTGCAGTTCGTTCTGCTCTTAGGGTTGCCACCTCATCCCTTTAAAACCGAACACATATTATTATACAGGTTCTGTGGCTGATTAAGTTGGTGGTAAGTAAACTCTCTTGGTGCCTTATCTGCAATAAGTTTGCTGTGTAATTAATATGTGTTTGGTTTTGAAGGGTTGAGGTGGCAACCCTATCTGCACTCCTGTGACCCATTTTCAGCTGACAGTGGGCTGACATCACTCAGAGTGTCAGGGCTCCGGGTATGACCAGAGGTGTGTGGACTGACACAGGGAAACGCAGGCTTCAGGTATAGTGTAAATAATTTATTAAGACTAAACAACACAAACGCAGTGCAAGGTAAACATAACACAGTGCAAACAACCCAAACTCCAACAGATAACCATATATACAAATCAAACGTAGTCGGGCAGGCCGGGTCGGTAGCAAATGGGCAAACAGGATACCAGGAGCGAGCGGAAGAGTGGTCAGGAATAGCCGAGGTCAGGACAGGCGGAGTTCGTTCAGAGTCAGGATCAAAACAGAGTCAGGATCAGGCAGGAAGCAGACAGGATGCAGGTACAGGGGCTCATGGGAAACATACACCAAGGCACTGACTGCAGGTCTGGCCATTCCTTAAATACACCTCCTGCAATCAGCCCCAGGTGATGGCTGATTGCAGGAGTGAGCTTCTTGTTGCTGAGAGCACCCGCTGGCCAGCCCTGGTACTGCAGCCCACACGGCAGATAAGTCCCACCACTAATGGTGAGTCCATTCCTGACACAGAGGCTTTAGGCTGGGAAAAGATCTCGACCCTAAAGTTGGGATCCACCACCAGAGTCTGGAGCAGCACCTGGCTCAGCCTCTGCTGAGAGCCTGAGCCAGTCGCTCCCTCCCCCTCCACAGCCCAGTGAGCGGGTGGGGCGGGGTACAGAGGAGACAGCGGTGACTGACAGCGGCTGTGAGAACCGAGCGATCAGCAGTCATGTGATCACTGAGTTCACATACTTGGAGCCAGTGGGGGTCAGATGCAGCATCGGATCGATGTTGCATCCACCTAGGTAAGTATAATTTAAATAAACAAATACCATACTTCTCTTTTAAGTTTTGCTCCCCCCCCCCGCCTAGGTGAATGACGTCAGTGCCCCCCAGCGCCTCCTGGGATATCTGATGTTCATATCCCAGAAAGCATCAGGAGCCCTGAACCTCACACCACTCACTAAGGCTAGGTTCACATCTATGCAAGTTGTGTTTGAGCCATTTCTCTATTGCGTTTTGCATTGTGTTTCACGTTTTTGCACCTGTGTTTTTGATGCGTTTTTGTTTTCCTTTTTTTTTTCTTGTTGCTAGGCAGATTTAAAAAGCAAAACACAAAACACATCAAAAATGCATCAAAAACGTGACAAAAATGCAATCCATACTTTTCTGCAGCGTTTCCATCGAAGTCTATAGAACCAAAAACGCAACTATTTGTGTTAAAAAAAAGTCCCTGACCCATTCCAAAAAATTCACTGAGTGAAAACACTGAGATGTGAACATGTCCCATCGCAAATTATGTTAAATGAACTGTACTGCGTTTCTGCAAAATGTAAAATGTTGCAGAAAATGCTTAGGTGTGAACCTAGGGTAACAGAGGAGGGAAGCGGGCCTAGCGGTAGACTACGTCAGAACCCAGAAGAGCTGGTGCAGCTTTCTGATGACGTCACAAAGGAACATGACATTGTGTGACCTGGTGGTGGCTGCAGAGAAGAGGATCTCAACAGGACAACGCTGGATCCTCTGTGTGGCTGAGTGTCTCAACCGTGGCCATCTCAGCAACAAGTAAGCATGGGAGAAATTCCTCTTCAACCCTCTTCATACCTCCATATTTGCCTTGAAGCTTGTTTGTTTATTACTTACTTATGAGACTCATTTATTTCTTCATTTTTTATAGTATTACAGTTTACAGTAGCACTGTAATCATCATTTTTTTTTATGTTCATTTTGATTTTGGATATATACAACAGCTCACTGGGTGGGAAAGATTATATATTTAGTATGCATTCTTCATATTTTAGTTTTAGCTCAGCATTCTTTGCAGGGGTGGACTGACAACTCATGGGGCCGCCAGGCAATAGGGGATCATGGGGCCTCTGTGTCCTTGCCCAAACTCAAAAAAGCCTATGAAAAAGGTACCAGGGGCATCTCATGGGGTCCCCTACTGACCCTGGGCCCTCGGGCAGTTCCCAAGTTTCCAGATGGTCAGCCCGCCCCTGGTTCTATGTATATTTTATACATAAACTAGCGGAGCAGCAGAACCACCGGGATGCAGAGGTGCGTGTTACACTAAATCCTTACATCCCTCTTCCACTAATTAGCTCTGAGTAATATTTGCCTTTTAATTTAAACTAGCCCTCTTTGTAGGAGTCCAGCTGACTCCCGCAGCAGCACCCGAGACATATAATAAATATCTTTTTAAAATTATAAAGAGATCGTTTTGCTGAATAACTGTTCTCATACTAATGTAATATTATCCTGTTAAGAATGTAAACTTTATTTCCGCTGTCATTCCTTTGCATCGGAACATTATGACCGTAAAAATAAAATAAGACTTCAGCATCAATTCCTATTATTGTAATGTATTGTGCATTTCTGCTATAAATTATACCAATGCAAAAGCAATCTCCTTTGTCATAGACTAATAGAAACTTATAACCTAGCTGTATATATTTCTGCAAGTCGATTCATTTGTTTCATTATTCATAAATAGCTCCAGAAACCAATGTGCTGTTGACTGCAGGTTGCATGGTGACAATCCTTAACTCCTCATTCTGCATGCATAGTTTTTGTAGTACTTAAAGTGTTACTAAACCCAGGACCCTTCATTCACTATATCTGGTCACCCCAGACCCTGCATTCACTATATCTGGTCTCCCCGGACCCTGCATTCACTATATCAGGTCTCCCTGGACCCTGCATTCACTATATCCGGTCTCCCCGAACCCTGCAGTCACTATATCTGGTCTCCCCGGACCCTGCATTCACTATATGTGGTCTCCCGGTTCCTGCATTCACTATATCTGGTCTCCCTGGACCCTGCATTCACTATATCCGGTCTCCCCGAACCCTGCAGTCACTATATCCAGTCTCTCCGGACCCTGCATTCACTATATCCGGTCTCCCCGGACCCCTTATTCACTATATTCGCTCTCCCCGGACCCTGCATTCACTATATCCGGTCTCCCCGGACCCTGCATTCACTATATCTGGTCGCCCTGGACCCTGGATGGATTCTCTATATCTGGTCTCCCCGGACCCTGCAGTCACTATATCTGGTCTCCCCAGACCCTGCATTCACAATATCTGGTCTCCCCAGACCCTGCATTCACTATATCTGGTCTCCCCGGACCCTGCATTCACTATATCTGGTCTCCCTGGACCCTGCATTCACTATATCTGGTCTCCCCAGACCCTGCATTCACTATATCTGGTCTCCCCGGACCCTGCAGTCACTATATGTGGTCTCCCCAGTTCCTACATTCACTATATCCGGTCTCCCCGGACCCTGCATTCACTATATCCGGTCTCCCCAGACCCTGCATTCACAATATCTGGTCTCCCCAGACCCGGTATTCACTATATCTGGTTTCCCCAGACCCTGCATTCACTATATCCGGTCTCCCCGGGCCCCACTTTACTATATTCGCTCTCTCCAGACCCTGCATTCACTATATCTGGTCTCCCCGGGCCCCACATTCACTATATTCGCTCTCTCCGGACCCTGCATTCACTATATCCGGTCTCCCCGGACCCTGCATTCAACTATATCCAGTCTCCCCAGACCCGGTATTCACTATATCTGGTTTTCCCAGACCCTGCATTCACTATATCTGGTCTCCCCGGACCCTGCATTCACTATACATGGTCTCCCTGGACCCTGCATTCACTATATCTGGTCTCCCCGGACCCTGCAGTCACTATATCTGGTCTCCCCAGACCCTGCAGTCACTATATTCATTCTCCCCGGAACCTGAATTCACTATATTCGCTCTCCCCGGACCCTGCATTCACTATATCCGGTCTCCCCGGACCCTGCATTCACTATATCTGGTCTCCCAGGACCCTGCATTCACTATATCTGGTCTCCACAGACCCTGCATTCACTATATCTGGTCTCCCCGGGCCCCACATTCACTATATTCGCTCTCTCCGGACCCTGCATTCACTATATCCACTCTCCCCAGACCCTGCATTCACTATATCCGGTCTCCCCAGACCCCTTATTCACTATATTCGCTCTCCCCGGACCCTGCATTCACTATATCCGGTCTCCCCGGACCCTGCATTCACTATATTCGCTCTCCCCGGACCCTGCATTCACTATATCCGGTCTCCCCGGACCCTGCATTCACTATATCTGGTCGCCCTGGACCCTGGATTCTCTATATCTGGTCTCCCCGGACCCTGCAGTCACTATATCTGGTCTCCCCAGACCCTGCATTCACAATATCTGGTCTCCCCAGACCCTGCATTCACTATATCTGGTCTCCCCGGACCCTGCATTCACTATATCTGGTCTCCCTGGACCCTGCATTCACTATATCTGGTCCCCCAGACCCTGCATTCACTATATCTGGTCTCCCCGGACCCTGCAGTCACTATATGTGGTCTCCCCAGACCCTACATTCACTATATCCGGTCTCCCCGGACCCTGCATTCACTATATCCGGTCTCCCCAGACCCTGCATTCACATATATATCGGTCTCCCCAGACCCGGTATTCACTATATCTGGTTTCCCCAGACCCTGCATTCACTATATCTGGTCTCCCCGGGCCCCACTTTTACTATATTCGCTCTCTCCAGACCCTGCATTCACTATATCTGGTCTCCCCGGGCCCCACATTCACTATATTCGCTCTCTCCGGACCCTGCATTCACTATATCCGGTCTCCCCGGACCCTGCATTCACTATATCCAGTCTCCCCAGACCCGGTATTCACTATATCTGGTTTTCCCAGACCCTGCATTCACTATATCTGGTCTCCCCGGACCCTGCATTCACTATACATGGTCTCCCTGGACCCTGCATTCACTATATCTGGTCTCCCCCGGACCCTGCATTCACTATATCTGGTCTCCCCAGACCCTGCAGTCACTATATTCATTCTCCCCGGAACCTGAATTCACTATATTCGCTCTCCCCGGACCCTGCATTCACTATATCCGGTCTCCCCGGACCCTGCATTCACTATATCTGGTCTCCCAGGACCCTGCATTCACTATATCTGGTCTCCACAGACCCTGCATTCACTATATCTGGTCTCCCCGGGCCCCACATTCACTATATTCGCTCTCTCCGGACCCTGCATTCACTATATCCACTCTCCCCAGACCCTGCATTCACTATATCCGGTCTCCCCCAGACTTTGTATTCACTATATCTGGTTTTCCCAGACCCTGCATTCACTATATCTGGTCTCCCCGGACCCTGCATTCACTATATCTGGTCTCCCTGGACCCTGCATTCACTATATCTGGTCTCCCCGGACCCTGCATTCACTATATCTGGTCACCCTGGACCCTGCATTCACTATATCTGGTCTCCCCGGACCCTGCATTCACTATATCTGCTCTCCCCGGATCCTGCATTCACTATATCTGGTCTCCCCAGACCCTGTATTCACTATCCGGTCTCCCCAGACCCTGCATTCACAATATCTGGTCTCCCCAGACCCGGTATTCACTATATCTGATTTTCCCCAGACCCTGCATTCACTATATCCGGTCTCCCCGGGACCCACATTCACTATATTCGCTCTCTCCGGACCCTGCATTCACTATATCGGTCTCCCCGGACCCTGCATTCACTATATCCGGTCTCCCCAGACCCGTATTCACTATATCTGGTCTTCCCAGACCCTGCATTCACTATATCTGGTCTCCCCCGGACCCTGCATTCACTATATCTGGTCTCCCCGGACCCTGCATTCACTATATATGGTCTCCCTGGACCCTGCATTCACTATATCTGGTCTCCCTGGACCCTGCATTCACTATATCTGGTCTCCCCGGACCCTGCAGTCACTATATCTGGGTCTCCCCAGACCCTGCAGTCACTATATTCGCTCTCCCCGGACCCTGCATTCACTATATTCGCTCTCCCCGGACCCTGCATTCACTATATCTGGTCTCCCCCAGACCCTGCATTCACTATATCTGGTCTCCCCGGACCCTGCATTCACTATATCTGGTCTCCCCGGACCCTGCATTCACTATATCTGGTCTCCCAGGACCCTGCATTCACTATATCTGGTCTCCCTGGACCCTGCATTCACTATATCTGGTCTCCCTGGACCCTGCATTCACTATATCTGGTCTCCCCGGACACTGCATTCACTATATCTGGTCTCCCCGGACCCTGCATTCACTATATCTGGTCTCCCCGGACACTGCATTCACTATATCTGGTCTCCCCGGGGACCCTGCATTCACTATATCTGGTCTCCCCAAGTACACACAACATGGAAAGGCAATTATTTTAATAAATATAAACTGCTAAATAACCTTTTCTCATCAGCGAGTATATAGCAGTCTTGTGACTTCTATTAGTGTCCAGCTGATCACTGGTTAATTTTGTAGGAGGGAATTTCTATTCTCCTCTGACTGTCCTATGAGGCTTTCATGATCCCTGACCAGGGCTGTGGATAAGGGGGTACCACTAGTTTCCTGTACAGGGCCCAGGCCAACAGGGGGGCCCAGGCAGCTGGGTGTGGGCAGCAAAGCAAGGGGGACAATTACTGGAACCGATCCCCTGTATGGCTCTCTGCAGTAGAGGAAAGCTGGATTCTTCTCCTCTCTCCTCTTGCTGACTTTCAGCTGCGGGCAAAGACAATGAGGACCTTACAGGGGATTGGTTTTAGCAATTGCCCCCCTGCCACACCCATTGGCTCTCACAGGTGCCCCAAACGCTTCCCCCGGCTGCCCCAGATCCCCCTGAGTG